TTAAACTCGATATTCTAGATAACAAGAAAATTAGCTATGAACGACATATAACTATTCGGTCTATAAAAATAAGAGTCTCAATTGCATAAGCCATTAAAGGACATTAAAGTGGGAGAGAAACATGTTCTAGATCATGGGACAAAGACGTATAAAAAGTTTAACTAAAGTAAACAGAAATCATGGAAGCCAGGGAAAATCTGGCATTTACCTCAAATTGCCTAAGATTTCTAACATTCTGTGATGTGCCTCCACCAACTGAATATGAAGAAACTGCATCAGCACTTCCTTGCAACCGGTTTTTAAGTTGCTGACACAAAACCCGAGCTTCTGCGGCTTTGTTTAGTGCATCTTCAGTCCCCAAAAATTGTTGCACATGTGCTTTCTAATTACAAGCATGAATGCAAGATGAGATAAATGGATTCTAAACATATGATCGTACAGTGCAACAAGCATAAATGTAGCAGCTGACCTAAAAAAATCCATATGTGCGAAGCTAAGACATTGAACAGTAATCCTGAAATTATGTCCTTTCTAAAATTTATATGCTGAAATAACAAGATAGAAAACAGAAAAATTAGATAAGGAGAGCAACCTGCCGTTCAAGGAGCTGGTTGTTTGATCCTTTTGAATAAGTATCTGGGGCAATCTTGCCATTACCATCAAACTGGTAACTTAACGGTGAGCTCACATCAGAAGAAGAAATCTCCATTACCCGGTTGTTTTCGTACTTATACCTGTAGAATAGGTTGACACCAAATAGCTTTCATTAGCTAATCAATACACTGGAACTTAACTTAAGAGAGTACAGATATCTCATTTGGTTAAAAAAGAAAGAATTAGAGATACAAGCATAAATATCATTGATCGACCTTGTCTAAAACCAAGTACAGGAAGAGCTATATCGAGCAGAAAAGACACATTTGAATGAAAATTAGCTGTCAACGACTCAGACTAAGTAACTATCACTTTGCATGATAAGTTGTCTCAAGAAATGAGTAGAAATAGCATGCAAGGTGCATTCAAGTGAACCAAACCCGGCTGACGCAGAATTGCACAATTAGAGAGAGGCATTTCAAGGAAACTAGAAGGCACCTCAATGTTTCCACATCAGCTCTGACATCAACCTTCTCTATCTCTCTGGATATTAGGGTCTTGAGGCGTAGGGTGTATGCAGCAATAGCCTGAAGTAGTAGAGGAGGATTACTCAGGCAGTTCAGTATAACAGCTCTCATATCCTCAGATATTTCTTCATCATATTCAAAACTCAGCTTAGTAGTTTCCAGCTCAGGATGCGAATGAATTCCATTTCCTTCGTAAGCAGGAAAAGAGTTACATATTCTGTCAACCATGTTTGATGCAAGTGATTCACAAGCTTTCCTGATATTCCGTTCTCTGGTTGTTTCAATGAGAATGACATCATCTGCCATCTTACTTCCTTTGACAGAGGAATAAACAGATTCCCTGTCAATGTTAGTGCTGAGCTTGCTTGATAAATCATTCGAAGAATCTAAACTCGACCTCTGTGCATTCCTTGCTTGATTAACGTAGATTTGTAGCCTTTTGTGATACTCTGCAAATATTCTTGCTGCTTCGTCACATTGCTGATCATAAGCTTCGAGCATTGCTTGCTTATGCCTAAAAAAAGAATTAAATCTCATGAAATGATCCAAAAGATCAACTGCACATAATCATTACCAATGATTCATCTTAAGGGGGAAGATAACATGACTATTGCTAAGTACGTAGAGAAGCTAGAAATAATTTTGCCAGAAATGTGAAGTCAAATCAGCAAAAGTAAGAAATATTCCATCCTAAAAGTTTATAGCAAGTTATAAATAATTAACACGCAACCAAACATGAACACTTGAGTGCAATGTATACATGTGCCTGCTTAAATCACAGAGAGGAAATGCTATATAACATCCTACAAGATGCAAAGAAGAGTTGGCTAAAACTGCTCAAGTCAGACATCCATAAAACTTTTAACCAGGTAAACATGATACATGTAGAAGACATACAATAATGAATCAAAAGTACAAGCATTTAATGAACATCTAAGCCAGTGCAGAATTTCTATATGCTTTTCTCTTCCAGAGAAAATTTGAATCAATAAAGATGCAGTAATCAAAGTAATGATTCAAGCGAAACCTGTAATTTGCCCTCTCGTCAAGCATCCTCTTCCGTTCAGCTTCTTCTCTCGAGACTTCTAGCATTCTAGCTTTCAGATCCTTTCTTTGCCTCCTCACAACGTTCCTCAATCTTTCCACCTCTTTTGCAGCTAACTCCCTTTCATGCAATGCAGCCTCCCTGCTTTCAGCAGAACTCAAACTCTGGCCAGCCACCGCCTTTTCTTTTCGCCTGCCTTTAGCCTTACTCTCCTCCTTCACAGCATCAGAGGTACCCCCATGAACCGTAACATTCCGCCTAATGCTCTCAACTGTCTTGTCCGATTTCGCGCGGTTGATTAGAAAATTCCAAATAGGTATCATATTCCCTCTACAAATCTTCCTTATAGCCTCAACAGAAGGCACATGGGATTTGCTCGGACCTAGTGGCCGGTAACCCATTTCCTTCTGAAGCCATTCTAATATAGCCTCTGGTGTTGGAGCCGAGCTCGATAAGCTCTGCATTTTCTGGAATCACACACAACCCCACGAACCCGAACTGAGGGAGTCACTGAAACGACGGGTTCCTCTAGATTTCTACTCGCAGATTCGGTACATTGCCCGAAATTGACATCAACAAGTTGAGTTTGCAACAATCAAACCTGAGAATACCTAGATTTCACAAAAGCAGACCAAAGAAGGACGTGGTAAAGGAGTTAGGGTTTCAACTCTCGCGGACACTTGTAAATCTCCGGCGGCGACCGATTGATTATCCAAAAAGCAAAGCCACAGGACAATGAAGGTGACGAACAGATCTGGGAACAATGATATCGCTGGAATCGGTGAATCTGATAGAGAGAGAGATTTCAAAATGGAAGAAGACGAAACACGATTTCTGTTACAAGTGATTCAGTGATGCAGGTCTGGGTCGAACCAGTTGATCACAAAAATATACATTTGGGTTAAATTTTAATATCTAAATAAATACAGGGGGCATATATTATATTTCCTGAAAACTTGGATCAAAAGACGC